GATTCACCTGTTTACAGCCTCCCAAGAGCTGGGATTACAGGTGTGTGCCACCACACCCAGTCTCATTCATCATCCCAGCATGCCCCAAGGGCAGGGTTAGCACAACAAGCCCAAGGATGGAATCGCCAGCCCCTGAGCCTGCTTGCAGGTGCTTTAATCCTCTGAGCTATTTGGCTGGTCCTTGGTATCATTTCTAAGGCTGTTTGTTTTTTGGGGGGAGTTGTTTTTTTTTGTTTTTTTCTGTCACTATTTTGTATTTTTAAAAATAAAAAAAAATGACTTAAATAAAAAGTACCATAACATAAAACCCTACCCCCTGGCTCATATTACGTGGAGCTACTTTATTTGATTTTTATTTACTTACAAGTACATCTGCTTTTCCACTGAGTCCCTTCCCATAATCATCCGTTGCAATAACTTGAAACTTGAAGTAGGACCTCCTCATATTATGGAAGAGCATGGCAGTCTTGATAAGCCCCGTGTATGTTTCGACCACAAATCCTTCTTTTCCTTCTTTGATTGGTGGTATGATAAGCCTGTATGCCATGGTACTATAATTTCCAGTATCTTTATCAGTAGCCTAGAAGGGAAAACAAAACAAAACAGTGTTACATAGCTGAGGGAAAAAGTCCTTTCTGGAAGTTTCCACTTCTATTTGCAGCACTGTTATGGTTTGTGTCTAGATGTTCCTCCGAAGCCTCATGGTGTCGTAGGGTTTTTCAGAGGCAGCTGAATCCAGAGTGTGCGATGCTGGATGGAGGATGTGTGACCAAATCAGAAAAGAGTATAATAGGAGTACAAAAACCCTGCCAAAGAATTTCTTTAAAATATCATTGAAAATTTATTTTTAAATGCAATATTTGGAGTGAATGGTGGTGAGGAGCATCTTTGAAAATTTATACAAGGTCACATGTATATTATTCATTATGTTAAACGTGTAACTTATGCATTTTTATTCATCAGCTTTACTTTATTGTATAGCTATCCTTTTCTATTAATATTATTGTTAAACATCCTACTTTAAGACTATATATCTTACAATGCTTGCATAGTCTTACAATGCTAAGAATTATATGAAGATAATTCTATTTTATAATAATAAAAAATCTCATTAAGGAATATGTTGTTTGCATTATATAAATTAGTGCCGTTCAGTAGAGCTCAGTGATATAAAAAATTTACAAGTAGAAACTAGCCATACATCACTATAGAACTAGGCTATTATGGTTAAGGTTTTGAAATTCTAATTAAATCTAGTTTTAATTAAATTTAAACAACCAAAGGCTAAGTGATAAGTACTAATATTGGAATGAAAACAGTGACAGAGTCATAGCAAATATGCATCAAAGTACTCAATGAGTTAGACTGAGTTGCTAGCTCTTTAATACCCTGATTATTTAAAACAGTTCAGGACACTCCTATGAATCTATAAAATGAGTTAATCTAAATTAAATACCCCTGATATTTCATCCTCGGATCAAATATTTCCTGAATTTTTCAAAAGAGATAAAATTTTCAGCTTTCTAAGGGGCCTCAAACTACCACTTTCTTTCTTTATGTGATCCATGTGATTTATATTATCACAAAACTGAAGTTTTAGTAACAGAAATGGTAATTAGATTTCAATTAGGTCACATCCTCACTTGAAGGAAAGAAGAAAAGCGCACAGGACATTATGAAAATCATTAAAGTTTTCTTTTCTAAAGCTTTGAACCATAAGATTTTCACTTATCTAATAGAGGAAAGCATAAGACACAAAAGCATATTCTCAACTAAAATTAAAGATCAAACTTAAATAAGCCAACAGGGTTCATTTACATACTTTGATTTAAAATTCATATCCAACCAATTAAAATCTAGAACTAGTATCAAATCAGTCAAAAATTTGAAGGCATATTGACCTTTTAAATTTCTGATAATGGCAGGACTTTACCCTGAAACAAACTACTGTTAATATAAATTGGAGTTAGGCATAATGAGCGTGCCAAAAATGTATACAAGATGTATGTGAACAGCTTGGGCAAAAAATTTTAAAACATACACACCTATGTGACCAGCATCCTCATTGAAAAACAAACAAACAAACAAACAAACAAACAAACAGATAAATGATGAGAGGTGGAGACAGATCTTCCTGAAAAGGCAAAGGGAAAAGATGGAAAGGAAGGAAGAGAGGCAAAAGGGACCAGAGGAGGGAAAGTGGCATGTGTTACTCACGTGCACTGACATTGCACGGGACACAAAAATGTATTAATGAACTAAACTAAAATAGAGAAGCAAGCCGTCCCCAGAGCCCCAGGATTCAGTTGATGCCCTTTGAGTCATAACACTTCTCTCAAGGTAACTGTCACCCTGCTACCCTCCCGACCCTGCGGCATTGATTGATTTTCTACTTGTTTTAAAATACAAGACCTTGCTGTGTATGCCAGCCTGGTCATGCACACTATGAAGCCCAGGCTGGCCTCAAATGTATGGCAATCCTCTTGCCTCAGCCTGTCAAGTGCTAGGATTGCAGCTGGTGCCACCAGACCTGGCATTTATGCCTATTGGGAAACTTTGTATTGATGGAAGCATAGAATATATTCTACGCTATGTCTGAACTCTTCCACTCAATGTTGTGATATTCCGAGACTTCCATTTTAAAGTAAATGCTGCAATGTAACACAATCGCATTTAGAAATAAATTATGCTTACCACAGAGTCATAATGATTGTTACACTGGAACAGTTCTTATAGATTAACCTACTTCAAGAAACTTCACTTTATAATATTCTTTTTCTTTTTAAATTTATGTATTTGGTACAGGGTCTCACTATGCAGATCGAGTTCGCAGTGATCCTGTTTTCGGCCTCTCCAGTGCTGGGATTACAGGCATGTGCCACCACGCACAGCTCAATCACCAGCTCAGTATGCCCAGAGGCGGGACGAGCATGGCATGTGGTACTGGGTGTGGAACGCCAGTCCCTCCGCTCGCCTAAGTAGGAGCTTAGTCTGCTGAGCTATAGCACTGGCCCTCTATAATAGTCTTGTTTTCTATTTTACTAATTAAAAAAAAATATATTTACTTAGATGCATTCAGAATGTCAACAAAACACTTGCAACTTTTTTTAAATTTGCAATTACAAAGTGGTGTTCAGTTAACAGAACAACAGTTATCTCATATAAGGTGCATCAGAGACAACTGAAGATGAAAAACTACCATCCCCGTGCACAACTGATTTGTGCTGTGCACCAACAAGAACCTGCTTTACATTTCCATGACAATTTACAGCCCCCATACTGTATCAGGCAAGGTTAGTGGCTATTGAAAATGCCACCAGGACAGGGCTATCTAAAGACACATTTGTGGGCCAGGGAGAGAGCTCAGTAGAATAAGCGCTTGCCTGGCAAATGCAGGGTCCTGAGTTCAATCCTCTGGACTGTAAAAACAAAAACAAAACAAAAAACATAACAATAAATAAATAAAGACACATTTGGTAGTGTGTTAACTACACACACACACACACACAAACACACACAAAGACACTGTACTGATTAAAAACAAATCTAACGAGCCTTGTATTTCTTTTTTTTTTTTTCCTTCAAAAGGAGTGAGTTGTGTACAGGTGGGTTAAATGCTTTGTAGACAGAAAAATACTGTGATAGAACCAACTTATTCATCCTCATCCTATTCTTCATCCTCCTCATCCTCTTCATCTTCTTTTCCCTCATTTTCCTTATCTTCCACATCCTCCTTCTCTTCCTTCCTTCTCTTGTGCTTTTCAGCCTTGATGACTCCTTTTTTTTTTTTTTTTTTTCTACATCAGGTTTTCCTTCAGCCAGGTAGTCAGCCATGTCCTTTTCATACTTCTCCTTCAGTTTAGCAGCCTTCTTCTTATATGGCTGCTTGTCGTCTGCTGCAGTATAATCCCACATTTCTCCAAGTCTCTTTGCAACATCACCAATGGAGAGGCCAGGATGTTCTCCTTTGATTTTGGGGTGATACTCAGAACAGAACAAGAAGAAGGTTGAAGGAGGCTTCTTAGGCACATTGGGATCCTTGAACTTCTTTTATGTTTCTTCTTTAGGAGGAATATAAGTTTTCATTTCTCTTTCGTAACAAGCCTTGTCCACTTTTGCCATGTCTTCAAATATTCCTTTTTCTTTAGTAGATATGTTCTTCCACCTCTCTGAGCACTTCTTACAAAACTTTGAGAAGTTAACAAGCATCTGGGTGCTTCTTCTTGTGCTCCTCTCGGCAAGTTTGCACAAAGAATGCATATGATGACATCTTGCCTCTCGGCTTCTTAGGATCCCCTTTGCCCATGTTTACTT